GCTGTGCACTCGGGGGACCAGCAGGAGCCCTCGGGCTCCGCACCACCCGGGGCCACTCGGGCCGCCTACACCCGCGGGCCCCAGACGCCGCGTGGTGTTGGGAGCGGGGCCCAGGGCAAGGGTTGCTGGCGGGAAAGCACGAATCTCTCCGCAAGCAGCTTGTTAACCTCGATCGGCTCNNNNATTGGCTCGGGCAGCGCTCACGCTGGGGACCAACAGGGTGAGTGATTTCCAGGAGGCGCGTCTGAGGACAGAAATAACCCCACCGCTTCCCCCCAGTTAATGCCGCGGCCGGCTGATGCCGCCTCTAATGACCGCAATCAGGCTGCGGAGAACGCGCGGCGCGCCCCCTCGGGGTAAGCGACAGCCGGTCCTCGTGGGAAAGCGGGAGGCCGGGTACAATCAATTGCGTCCTGCCTCACCCGGTGCCATGTTCGTTAGGCCAGAGGGCAGAACATATCAGGAGAATGAATTACTTTTAATATCACAAGCATAACTGGGGCCCTTCGGTCATTTTTCTCCGTAGTTAGCGCGCGTCCCCGCCCGCGGCCCGCGGGGAGGAGAAGCCACGCAAGGACGCGGGCGCGCCTACCCGCTTCCAGCTCGTCCGGCCCGTCGTAGGACTTGTCGATGGCCGCTCGGAAGCTCTCGTTGCAGCCGCGCCCGCGCACCATGTGCGGCCGGGGCCGGTGGAAGGGAAGCTCGTTCTTCCTGACCTCGGCCACCGCGGTCTGCAAGCTCTCCAAGGAGCTGGACTTTTTCAAGCCCAGCGTTGGCCCGAAATCTTTGCTTGGAGAGTCTGGAAAAGAAAGGGCAAAAGGTCACCTTGTTTCCTACCAAGGCAGTGTGGAGGCCTGGAAAGGTCTGTTGTTCCAAAAATATTTCGGTTTGGGCATCTTACAAAAAGGGGTGTTAGGTGGGTGGCAGTTGGGGATAAACCCCAGCTGGGCCACGCGCGCACACACACTCACACTCACACACATGCATACACAGAGCTCCTAACACAATGAATGCTTTTCTCTCAGTACCCATCTCAAGCACTCCCATACATTGTAGCGTTTATTTCTGTCACTGTTTTTATAATTATTAAGCACCGTACCATGCACAGAAATCAAAGGACATTGAAGTGATTGCAATTTTTGTGATTAAATACTTTACCTTACTCTGGTGGCTATTAGTGCACGGTGAATGCAATTTATTTAGTCTATAGGTAAATAAGGCAAAGCAAGAAAGAAAACAACTTTTCTGTGTGAATGCTTATTGTTACAAATTATCTCTATTTGGGTATTTACAAAGAGGCAGCTTTTAAAAAAAATAATATAATATTCCAAAAAGAAAAGGGGGAAACCTATTTAAATAAGGTTTAATAATTTGTGTTCTGAGATACAGTATTTTTCAATTGTATGATTTGTTTTGCCCTGCATCTGCCTGCTTTCACCCATGCCTTGACCTCCATTCCCACCCACAGCCAGGCACCCAGTTGTCCATAACAGGATTAGGCTACATAAATACCAGCGGCACAGGTTTATTTTAAAGATGGAAGGAATTCTATCAGGGCTGTTTTCCACCAGGGCCAAGACTCACAATCCTCCCCAGTTATGAAGGAGATTATTATTATGATGAGGCTACACTTGCATTACTGGAAATAAACTTCTTTTCAGTTTTTTAGTAGATATACATGGAGTGCATATTAAGGGGTATGTACATAAGGTACCTAGCACACAGCAAGGCTCATAAACAGCACTGTCTTTTCTTACTATGATCACTCTTGCTGCTCTACTCCTGCTAATTGCTTAACACAGTACTAGGTAATACAAAGAATACAAAAGAAGTACCACAGAGATGAAACGCCTGTATAAACACACATAACGTTAAACAGCAATACACACCCTACCATATGTCCTGAACAAATTAAAAAGTCAAAATAATGACAATAATGCTGACAGCTAACAATGCTTAGTCCTGTTCTAAGTGTTTTACTTTTATTATCCTTATAGTTGTGCTACTGCACTGTTGTTAGCCCCCCTACAGATGAGGAAACTGAGGCATAGAGCAGTGAAATACCTGGCCCAAAGTTATACACTTAGTCAGTGTCAGAACTGGGAACTGTCCCGAGGCAGCCCAACTCCACCTTTTCTGCTCCTTGCTGCCTAAAGTAGCACTTGGCCTCTGTTCTCTACTTGATATAGTCAACTTATTTAAACTGGCCTACAGATTCCTCAGATCTAAAAGAAGAGCGTTCATTTAGATTAGCCCCGAGCCTAGCCAAGCAGGCAAACTGCAAAAATTGGATACTTTTTTTACAGTTTCATCATTAACTTACAGGAGGCAATTTTGTGCTTTAAACAATACACACGAGGGCAATAAACACTGCATTTTATAGAGTGACAGTGTACCTCCAATAAATGCAACAGAGATGAGACTAAGCAAAAAACAAAATTACAATAGATTTCAGGGACATATTTCAGGTCCTCCTTGCAAGTCATCAATACTGAGAATATGTTCCTACTAAATCCAGAAAGGGAGATGTTTCTTATAGTCCCAGGAAGGAAGGTAAGCTGAAGAAACAGAAGTCTAGTAAGATCATTTCTGACAAGAAAACAAAAAAGTAACACCGAGGCTTGGCTTGGGGTATTGAAGCAACAGTAAAAGCTTTGGAGTTTACAGAAAATATTTTACACCCATCAAGCCCTAGGGATGTCTGATAGGAAGTCTGGTGAAAACTCGAAGATGAAAGTGTCTGAGAGGCTCATTCTTCTGTCAACAATAGTAACCATCTTTTATTTATTAATTGCCATCCAGGAGATTATATTAGAACCCAAACTGTAAGTATTCGCATCAACCTTTAGCAATAAATTCCAGCGAACATGAAAGTGAATAAATCATCCAAGATATAAGGCATGTTATCTAAAAGGAGCTCATCGGAGGCTTAGCAAGAAGTTGTATTTGAGGGCGCATGCGGGAGGCAACGGATCGATGTTCCCCTCCCCCCCTCCTCCTTCTTCCCTCCTATTCTCTCTGAAAAGCAATGGAAAAAATATCCTGGGGTGAGGATTTAAAAAAAAAAAAAGCCGTATGTGAAGAGGAACAAATACATTGTTATCATTCTAAGGACACTGAACTTAAGGATTCATGGACTTTGCAGGATTAATAGAGCCAGCAGTGAATTCACTTTGTATAAACAGAAGTCACAAATTAGGAGCATCAACTGATGTTGGCCAAAATTACAACCCAGCTTTCCTGGATGTAGGCCATAGGAGACCTAAACGCAAAAAGGGTGGTTGAGTCCTAGGTTGTAATGTGGGCTCAGGGGTTTTCAACCTTGAAACAAATGTTTCTATTTATTCCCAGGGAATAAACAGGATGTAGCCGTGGGAGAGACTGATGGTGGAGAGGGGAATCCAGATTCAGGAAAGTCTTCAAGGACATACAGGTCCATTGACCTGATGGAACCCATCTCCAGCTGAAACGGGACTCTGACATGGACCTTGACCAGGGCTCACATTTCCTTTATGTGTCAGAAGGCTTCTGACAAAAGGTCAAGGTTACTGGTTGAGGGAGGTATTATTATGTCAATTCATGGGTGTCGGTACTAAATTCCAACAAAACCCTTGGAATAAAGTACCCTACCACGTAAAGATTTTATGATGTACAATAAATTGTTATGTTCAGTCCCTCTTCTCTATTCCTACCCTCATCCCTTAGATTCACATTGCTTTTAGAATTGGTAGATTCAGTCTATTTTTAGTCTAATTATTTACCTAAATAGTATTTTTTTCTGGGCTCCCACTAAAAGTAAAGTTCTCTTTGAAGGGATAATATAAAATAAGTAATTAATCAAAATCAAAATCTCAGTCATTCTATCCCATTGAAGTCATCCTAAAATATGATCACTCCTCACGTTTTCATCTGTAGCTGATATGATGTTGGCTGTGGCCGAGTTTAAGCAATTGTCTGAGAGCGTGATCCATGAATACCACGTGTTATCAGTCATGGGGTGGACTTGGTCCAAATTTGAGCGTTTACTTGTCCGGCTTTGAGCATCCACAGACCTAATCTGAGTATGACTGTTCAATGATTTCCAGGCCAGCTTAGGCAAGTTGCACATGCCAAAGAAGAAATCTTCCAAAGTTTAGTAAGAAGGCTTTATTTTTAACTTATGACTTTTATGTCCAGTGACTATGTTGTCTAAGTCCTGATAAACTTATCTTGCCCTCAGAAATATGAACCTGACATACACAAACTTCTCAAAATAAATGATACAACGGTTTTCAAGGGCGCTAAACGAGGGATCTAACATGTTAAATACAGGTGGTATAATAACAATATTCTTAAAGTTCTCTGTGCCAAATAGTCCCTTAAAATGAAGGCCTCATAAAGAAAAACCACTGTAATCATTTTTTAAATGATGGTATTGCACTTTAGAAGAATCTTCTATTCTCGAATGAAGCGGATTGTCTTGACTTGGTCCCAGGAGCCTTCCTTATATTGAGTAAAGGGAATTTCAGGGTCATGTCGTCTGGCCCCGCCAATTCTCAGACACATCAGGACTCCCTGTCATCTAGGAAAATAGTGCTATGAAGAGAATGCACACACACGCCAAGATTAAAGATGGAAAGGACTAGTGCCACCGATTCTCCCGCAGGCATTAAAAATGTCAGTAGAAGGGAGTACAGAGCTCCTGTGTAGGTGGACGGGTCACTACAGAACAGATGCTCGAAACACTGAGAAACCAGTGCGCCAGCCTTCTAGCCAGAAAGGCCACTTCAACACACCCTGAAGCAGAAAGGCCTGCCCGGGCGACCGCGTGGATGTGAACCTCAGTTTCTCTGACTCAGTCTTGGGTTCCTGCCCCTGCCTGGGGCCGAGGGCTGCTGTTGGTTCCCCACGAGGCAGGCGATGAGGACAATAGAGAGTCAAATAGTCTGGACAGTGGTGGCTAATCGCGAGTTGCTTCGAGGAGAGGCCGTGGAAAGTCCCACACGCCCCACTCTGCTACTCTCTGAGCCTGTTTCCTAATCTATAAAACGAGGGTAAGACAAGGATGCAAGAGTGGGGCANTGAACCTCAGTTTCTCTGACTCAGTCTTGGGTTCCTGCCCCTGCCTGGGGCCGAGGGCTGCTGTTGGTTCCCCACGAGGCAGGCGATGAGGACAATAGAGAGTCAAATAGTCTGGACAGTGGTGGCTAATCGCGAGTTGCTTCGAGGAGAGGCCGTGGAAAGTCCCACACGCCCCACTCTGCTACTCTCTGAGCCTGTTTCCTAATCTATAAAACGAGGGTAAGACAAGGATGCAAGAGTGCCTGGCACGTAGCAGGCGCTCATAAGACGGGGCGATGACTCGTATGACGGCGGCCTCTAAACATCTGAAGGAGGCCAGCACGAGCCACCTGGTTCAGTCGGCCACTGCAGCCTGTGGTTTTTCTCCTTACCTGAGGATATTTCTTCCCACTGCTGTTCAGAGAGAGA